GCCAAACTACTCTCCTTCACCCCTTCTCCTGTGTGGCATAATCACTGCTACCTGTCAGACTATACCTTATTTCCTTGGTCAGTAAAAAGACTCACTAAAAGGCTATTTCTGAAGAGCATGTAATGAATGGTATAATCTAATCTGCATGTTGGCCCACATTTGACTTTCCAAAGCGTATGCAGCTTACTAAACCTAACCCAGCGTCTGCAAAGCTTGGAAATGAGAGCATATCTAAGACATTTGTATTTTCTCTGAAATGTCTTTATATTTAAAATGAAAAAATAAGCTCTAATTCCGGCAACTACCATAAAATATTTGTGGGGACAAGTTTCAATGTTAGTTTACATATTAAAAAAGAGAATGTAGTTTGAAATACGGCTTGGCTCTATTTGCAGGCTCAGGCCTAGATGAAACAGGATGGAATATCCAATGCATGTTAGGATTTTTTTTTTTTTTCCAATACTCTTGGAAACTCAGCAACTTACGTAATATGAGCAATGACTGAATAAAGCATGAAAAATAGTTTAGGATTTGTTATGACAACTTTGACATAATAGCACTGTGCCATTTTTTTTAACTATGCCTAACACAGCAACACTCTCGGGAAGAACAGCTGCTTAACTATTTCACCACAAACAAGACAGTGCAGTTGAGGATCATGACAACATCAGTTGCCAATTTTATTAGAGATACACAGAATACTTTATGTGTCAGCTGCAGTTTTCTAGATGGGGAACATGATCTCAGCACATGCATGCTTAGATGGCCAAAGGCTTTGGAGTAAGGAGGTCTTCCTAGTAAAGTCTAACAGAATCAAAAATTGCTAATGGGGTTCTTATGAAACTGGGATCTATCCAATAACTGAATTTCAATTTATATCATAAATCAAAGGTGTTACAGACGTGTAATGATGTATGTGCATGGGAGTAGACATAATAAAAAGGTGATCATTATTTCCACCAATTTCTTTAAAAATATTTTCTAACCTAATTTTACCCAAACACAATGTAGAAGGAAGTAAAACCCTCAAATTAAGAAGGAGTGCAGAAGTCAAATGCTTTTCCTTAGCACAAAACTCTTCTACCCAATTGTGTTCAAACCACCATCAATTGACTTTCAATATCTTTCTCCACAATTCTACTACCATGCTTCGGAAAATATTACAAACTATCAATACTTAGATGCCAGCCACTTAGAGCTGTGTGAAACTTGGCATTTTCACTTTGCAGGAGTGCAGGCAAATATTTTATTTGGTGTCAATCCACCATTTTCAGTCTGTGCTGATTTTTAAATAAGTTTAAATAGGCAAATGAATAAGCAGTCAAAATTTCCACATTTTACCTGGTTTCACTTCATGGCCACACAAATAAAAAGGCTTATCTTCATGAACCAACAATGGAACAAGTTAGATGTTCAAATTCAGAAATACAAGAAAATATCTATCATGTGGTTATGGTGATTTACACCCAAATGTCAGGATCATGGAGGATGTTAACCCTCTCTAGCACCATTACTCTGTGTATTTTAATTCTGTAAAGTGCTGCAAGCATGTGCATTTATGATGCTATAGAAAGGCCCCAAATGAGAATAATAGTAGCAATAATTGGGGTTTTTATAGATCCTGCCAGCACTCTATACCATCACAGGTAAACTTTTTTTCTTTCTACACTTTCCATCCACCTGCAAGTACCTTAGGATTGCAGCTCCTTGGATCATCACTGCTCCTGTCAGTGTATCAAATTCTGCTCTTTATCTGGCAAAAATCATGAGTGATTTGCAACAGAAATAATAGCAGGGGGAGCTTGTTTTAAAAAACAGAAGCCTACCAAAGAAGTAGTAATAATTGAAAAGGTCTGACTGTATTAAGATTTCTGCTGAGAACATGCTCATTGCATTCATCTATGGAGGAGTTAAAAGGAAAGAAGCCCCAAATTCAAATAACAATAGGTACCACATGTGGAAAGCTGTGAGGTAGAGAAAAAAGGCCAAAGAGATGAAAGCAAAGAAATAATGAAAAGGAGAAATGAGACACTGGTAAAATACTGGTAGAAACAGAAAAGACAGAACAGTTTGAAAACTGAGATGTAGAAGGAAGATAATACAAATAATGGAAATAACTTTAGAATACAGGATGAGAATGAAGAACAAATGGATTACAGGTGGACTGAAGGAGAGATGATGAGACAGAGAAAAGAAAGGAGAGGGAGCATGGAGGTATCTAATTACAGAATTCATTGGAGGCAAGATAAAATTACAGATGGAGATGAGAAAAGTTTAAGAAAGGATGGTATGAGAAGACGGAAATCCACAGAGATGTATGTATCTGGAAATGGGATAAATAAAATCACTATTGTACAGGCTAAAGGCAGAATTAGGATTTGAGAAATTTTATGAGAAGAGTATGAATATGAAAATAGATAAAAAACAAGGTTATGTACAGAGGTAGGACACAAGCTGCTATGAAAGAAAGAAGACCTTAGGAAAGGAATGGGAATGAAAAGCAATAGGTGAAGCAGGGACTTGGATGGAGAGCTAGGTGCTAGCCCAGGTGCATGCAAGGTCATCTTACCAGTCCACCACAGGTACTGAAGGAGGCGAAGGAGCCCGGGTAGCGGAGGACAGCACCACTGTAGTAACAAGCTCTCTCAGGTTGCGACTGTGCGGCACTGGGTGGACTTTTGCCCTCACCCCCGAGCCGCTCTTCCACAGCAAAGCCAGGAGCCAGGAAGCGGCTGTCCCTCTTGAGCAACAGGTAGAGTTCCCGAGCAAAAGCTGGGATCCTCAACAGCACTTCATCTGCATCCTCCACTGGAGGTGGTGGGGGGGGGGATGGTGGTGTTGGCAACTGAGAGGCAGCACCAGACCCCTGGGGCAGGGGGGACCAGTGGTAAAACTCCTGAGACTCATACTCATCCTCAGTGTCCTCTTCCTCTGCTGCCTCCCCTACAGCCTGTGCCTGGCCATCCACCGAGGAGGAGACTGAGCGCACCTCTCGGGAACTGCCAGCCACTGGGCTAGGTGTGACTGGGGCACTGAAAGTGCTGCTTCGGTTCCCACTACTGGGGTCGACGCTGCAACCCCCACCACCACCACTGCCACCTGTCGGCTCCTGCTGGCCCGGGCTCCATAGGGCAGGGAAGACGATCTCCCATTCTTCAGTTTCTTCTGAAGCATGGAGACCTGCGGGAAATCCGGCAGATGCTTTAAATGAGTGGAGCACTGAGAGGCATCCAGTGCATGCCAAAAACCTACCCTTTACCCAACACAAGACGGTCCTTCTTAGTCCTAGACCAACAAGCATGCCACAAAAAAATACTGTGGGGTTCATCTGTCCCTTTCATCTTGTCCTTACACACAATAGGGAGGCCAGCTGCTAGATGAGTCTGTGCTTGTTGATGTGTCTGGAACACACCAAGGTCCTGCATAACACTAAGAAAAAGTACTCCAAGCTGGCAGAAGTTGTGCTCGTACCAGTAGCTGGAGATGTTCTTCCTTTTGATCACCAGCTCCAAGCAAGGGAAGTTGCAAAAACCCTTCATCATTTAGACAAAGTAACAACTTTTCATATTAAAAAAAAAAAAAAAAAAAAAAAAAAAATTGCTGAAAAACCTAAAAAAATTTTAAAATTGCAACCTTCTCAGAATGCTGTGCTAGACCCATTATGCCTCCCAAAGTTCAGCCAAACATACACACACACCATGGCTGCACATACAAGTGGGAGCTGCATGCACATGCTGTCTCATGATTATTCTTATAATGAAACTGAATTAGAATCACTAACTACTTATGTCCGCATATCCCACACACTCTACATCACAATACAACCAAAGTCCGGTATGCCAGCATTATGTTTACAAAGATCTGAGTACACACAACCTCCACTAGCCTGACACAGGAAACAGTTTTATTTACACATTCATCTCACACTCTAGGAACAGCTCAGCCGGGAGAGATGACAGGGCTGCTTATGGAAATCAGGTCTCGTACAGAGGAGCGCTGCACAGTGCACCCTCACAGCCGAGGCGCGCATTATCTGATCACCCATCAGTTACGGGGGGCGGCGCGGTTAACAATGGCCAGGTACCGCCACCGGCAGCCGCGGGGCGCGGAGGCCGCCCTGGGCTCGGCCCGTCCCGCGAAAGGCGCGCACTTACCTGCGCCGAGCCCGCTTGACAGCACGCACAGCTGGTAGAACACGCAGCACACGCGGCTCAGGCGCATCCTCCCTCCCAGCGCCATCGGCTCCGCGCCCGCGGGACGCCGGCCGGCAAGACACGCAGGGTTGTGCCGAGTCGTGCCGGGTCGAGCGGGGAGTGCCACGGGGCGCAGCCACCTGGCCGCCCGCGGAGAAACTGCGGGTGAGCGCGAGTAGCGCGTCCCGCCGGGGAGGGAGGGAGGGAGGGAGGGCGGGCGGGCAGCACCGGCGGCGCGGGATGCGCGGCGCACGGCGGCCGGGCGTGCGCGTGTGTGTGTGTGTGTGTGCGCGTGTGTGTGTGTGTGTGTGTGTGTGTGTGTGTGTGTGTGCGTGTCTCTGTCTGTCTGTCCGTGTGCGTCCGTGTCCGTGTGCGCGCGTCTCTGCGTGTGTGGGGGCGCGGGCAGGCGGGAGCGCGGCCCGTGCGCGCACACAGCGCCCGGCGGCGGGCGGGCAGCTGCGCCCCGGCGGCAGCGACCGCGCTGCCCCCGCCCGCCGCTCGCCCCCACGGGGCGGGACGCGCCGGGCCCCGTCCCGTCCGGCCCCGCCCCGCCCCGCCCGGGCGGGCACCCGCCGCGGCCCCCCTTCCCTCGCCCCGCCGCAACCCCGCCGCCGGGCCGCGGGCAGGCGCCCGGGCGGGTCCAGGAGCGGCCGAGCCGCGGCCGCGGCCCCGGGAGACAGCGCTTCGCACCCCGCCCGTGAGGGGCGCGCACCGCGTGCGGCCCGGCGTCAGGAAGGGTTCCCCTCATCCCCGTCTCCAGCAAGGCGCTCAGCGGAGCCTTTGCCTAAATTCAGGGGGCAGCAGACACTGACCGCTTTTGCCTAGTCTCGTGTAATTTGATTCTAAGCTCCTTTTGCCCCCACCATGCAGCTCCATGGAAACCCATCACTTTCCACGCCGGCCCTTGTCAGCAGAGGAATGAGTAAATGAGGAGTGAGCAAAAAGCTTTAGCTGCACATCTAGCATCAGCATGAACTGCAAAAGCAACAGGTAAAGAAGTCCCTCTAAAACTCGGATTTTGTCATAACTTCTGCTGCTTTACCTACTGTTGTTGGTGTCAAAGGTGATTGCTGTGCCTTAGGGGGAGGCAGAACAATCCAGTGGGGTGAGGAAAGCCATCTGTGCCGTTAATGGGAAGTTAAGAAGTTGCAAGAATTCTTTCTAGAAGTTAGCTGTAAAATTAGAAGTTAGCTGTAAAATGAAAAGCAAAACATACAAACAAACAAAAATCACGTGTTACAGCTCCAAATAAAAAAACACGTTTGGACTCCGCAGAAGCCAAATGCAGCTGGCTTTTGGTCTCTGCTCTGTTCAGCAGCTGCTTGAAAAGTATGCTGCATGGGTAGGTACTCTCAGCTGACTCCAAAATAGTATTTTTGATTACTTGTTTCATTTATAGGGGGAAAAAGTTATCATACACTGGTCTTTTTCTCTTTTTTTTTTTTTTTCTTCTTTTTTTGGCATTTGAACTGACTTACAGTAAGCAAAATTGAAGGGACTCGGTTAAAACAAGATGAATTGATTAAGAAGAGGAGAGTTTTTCAGGGCTCCAAATTGGTATTTGCCTGATAATTAGGTGATCTTAAAATGCGTTTTAAGGGGAGCTTTGTTTTCCAAATAAATAACAACATATGCACTAATTTACAGAGGAATTAGTTAATAGGCCAAATCCTGCAGCCTTTTCACAACCACAAGTCTCCTTACAACTGATCAGCTGCAAAATGTAGTTTATAAGCTCCTGTGAAAATATTAGACACAAATTCTGATTTTATTTTTGTTATGACAAATCAGAATGGACAGGCAAGATGCGAAAATACACAGAACCTTTACTCTGAATACAGTTACATCACAAAACACCTAAATGAATAGCAAGCAGGAATAAGGTAAAAAGATATGGCATGTGAATGTGCTAACTTTAAAACTATGAATTGCTGTAACTGTTTCCAATCTGCTGTAGCTGTTGGTCCCTTTGGACAAAATTCTGCTTCTCTCATTCACATATATAATCTTAATAAAAAGACAAAAACAGTGGTTTTGACAGTAAAGTAGGGAGAATTTGGCCATTTCAACACAAACTGCAAAGGATAAAGACACTTTTTAAAATGCCAATTGAGAAAGACTTGAATATGTTTGACTTTATCACCAGCCAAAGAAAAAAGAACATTTCTAATAATTCTCCACATATGAATACAGAGCAAGCTAAAATCAACATGGAGCTTCAACAAATTTCTTTAATTCATTTTATTTTTTCTTTTTATCTTTTCAGTAGTTAAAGTAAAAATATAGGAGGAAGTTCTCTATGTTTAAGTCTGGGGAAAGTGCACTATAAAATAGAGCCCCTACTGGTGTTCATTAGTTTTAACAAAGAGTCTGGTCATAGGTTAATGCTGGTAGATGATATTGTAGCCCACCATATGCTAACTGTTGTCTCTGTGAGACTAGTGCAGGGAAGCACTATGTCTAAGAATAAGAGAATAAGAATTAAAGGAACAAAACAAAGTTCTTTCATACTGCAGTTAGTTTGCAGAGACAATAATATTATATCTATGTGTACTCTACAAAAGACTATTTTCTTAATCACAAAGCCATTCAAACTCTGCAAATTGTTTTTACTTTACTGAAGATATGGTTCAGGAGGTGTTATTAACTATGTATTTGTAAAATTGGAAGAAATAGTATCTTCAAACAAAATTAAAAGAAACGTTTGTTTGCTCCAGTAAATTCTTAAAACTCCTTTATCTATCTGAAAGGTCGAAGCCTTTTGGCAATTCAAGAGATTTGTGCAGAATCACAAATGTAAAGTATGTTAATTTGTAAAATAGAACAGTGATTCAGACCATCTTACTGACATAAGGAAAACATAACAGAAGGTGAAGTAAAGAATATATCTTTATCAGTCTTTCCTGACTGGGATAAATCAGCCTAATTTTGTTGAAATCAATAGAAATTCAGCAATTTCCTTTTGTTTAGTCCTCCCTGATGTTAAATTTTCACAACTGTGCCATCACTCCTTTGAGGACTGTCAGGGAAAGGGTTCTCCCAGGCCCAACCGCAGGCTGACTTTCCATTTCTTCAGTATGCCAAGATCACTCATGATCACTGGTAACAAAACACAGACATCTCAAGCCATCTTCTGAAGGCATCAGATGATTCCCCAACTTCTGCACTCCTCACCCCATGGTTTTATTTAAATCTGTGCTGCAGTTGCTGTCTTACCTTATGTAAGCAAAGACCGAATCCCTGCTTCTCCCAGACCCTTATTGCATTCACTATCTGTTCAGAGTGATTTATTTCTGAGGATTAAGGTAAGTATGGACAGATCATTCTATTGAATTCAAAAATATCAGCTTCTAGCAATATAAACACCACCATCAGTCAGAGACTTTCCTTGGTTTGTTTTTTCTCCTACCTAATAATTTAACTGTAAAAGCTTATACCAGTTTATACATAGAAAGTGTTTAAGATTACCTCCGCTTTGCATTCTATACAATATTTCCTCCAGAAGTTGTTACCAAAAAACCACAAACCTTTAATCCTCTTCACAAGGATATAGCTCTTAATTATTTTTTCCATATGCTTTAAATATAACTATTGATGATACCATTGATTTAAAAAAAAAAATCCTTAAGTATATTTGTTTCATATTTTTGCAATTTAAGAAAATATTCTGGATGATTATAAAAAATCTATTCTCTTTTGAATGGTGCTTACTACATTAAGGCCACATATCATATGTCCCTGAGATTAGAAACAGAAACTCACATCTTCCTGTTTCTGGGGTGCTTTGCAAATGTTATCTCAGTCTAAATAAACTTGTTTCAAAGAAGATTGAACAAAATATCTTCTGATGCATAAGATACATGTGAAACAATGCTGCAAATTTTCTCCACCTTAGCGTGAATGAAAGGAAGCATTTTCTCTTTTAGAAAATGTTGTATTTGCTATCTCTTCAACTGAACAGTGAATTTCCACTGTCTGTTAGCTCACAAACTCTGAACATTTAGTCTGTAATTCTATACTGTTATTTACATACTCAACATGAGGAGTTTATTTAAAAGGTATGTATTTAAGAGCACTTCAAACAACTTCTCTTTTGCAGCTCTTACTACAGAGCAAATCTTACAGTTACATCTGAACTCAGTAGTACAATCAGATGACCTCCTGAGTAAGATATGTGTCAAACTGTTGTGAGCTTAATACCTCTACTGGTTTAAAGTGCATCAACTTTAAAAGGGCAAAGCTAAGCCCATAGCAGCTCAATGTCACTATGCCACACCACTACTTATGATTCAGTAGAATTTAGCAAGTTCAATTAAATTTACTAAATTCAGCAAAATTTACTCCCAAGTTGTTGCCTTGTGAGTTACTTCTCAAAGTCATATTGATCAATTTGTGGACAGTATTAGCTAAAAATATGCTGTCAATACACAATTTACCCTATTTATTTGGAATGCTTGGCCAAGTTACCACTTTTTGCAGCTCTTTTATTATACCCTTTACATTTATTGATTCCTTTTTCAGAAAAAAAAAAAAAAAAGAAAAAAGCTTGGCAGTTGTTTACATTTTGACAGAAAGCTCAACCTGTACAATGGAAGGTACTAAAGTGCTCTACTAAAGCTGCTTTAAAAACAGCAAAGATAAAAACAGCAAAGCATTCTGTGTGAACATGAGTTGCACACAACTTCCCAAGCTAAAGTTTCCCTCAAATTGGAGCTTCCTCAGATTTCTTAATTGAATCATCTCACAAGCAAATATGTCACCTGATCAATTATGGGGGCAGGCTACCACAGAACAATCAACAAATAGGTCCCATTTTTGGAACATCTTAAAAGGGAAAGGCTTCAAATTTGAAACCTTTAAGTCATCTCTTGGAGAGAAAAAAAAAAAAAAAAAAGGTAAATTTCCAAGAATCACAGAGTCATTCAGGTTGAAAAAGACCTCAGATCATCAAGTCAAAGATTTGCCCTTGGAGAGTATAGAAAAGCAGGAGCTACTTATGGAGAATAATTCACATTGCTGATTAAAATTGTGTGGTTCTTCTTGACAATTACATCTTAAATACAATAATCCTCTTTTAGAATGCACCTTCAAAATAAAAATAGTTTAGAACTGTAGTATAACTTAAAAATGTATATGAGCACATGGGAACATTAACTACTGAAAAAAAGTAATGAGAGAATACCCTTAAAAAGGGCTTAATGGACACAAAATTTCAAAATAGAGGGAAGTCTTTCCCCAAAATAAAGATAATGAAACTTAATTCCTCCTCCAAACTGTAAGAATAGGTTAGAAGAGCAAAGAAATTTTTCATCACTGAAAATAGTAGAAATGCTTCCTATAGGAGAATTATTTCATTTGTAGCACTGGTATTATTAAAAAACCAAAATAAAACACAAAACGTCTTCTAATTCATATAAAAAACAAAATCATGGAATCTGACTAGGTGACTTTATGCTCTCTCTGCCCACATATCCGCCTACACTTACAGGAGGTGGGGGCAGCAGGCAGAAATACAAACCTTATAAGAAAAGAAAAATTTTGGTAGCAGCTGCAAGCATCTGGGACTGAGTACAAAACTCAGCATCTATGATAAAACCAGAATTATTGGCAACTACATTAGTTTATTTGTGAATGTTAGGTAGATGTCCTCTATGTTCAAATTAGTAAGTTTAAAATATTCAATAAGCCAGTTATCCCAGCCCTACTAGTCAGCCAGTCTGTTTCAGAATTTATTCAGGTTTTATGCAGGAAAATGGACCAATTATGTCAAGTGAGTTAAAAATACATTTGATTTCTTCCCTACACAGTTTAGATGCTAAGTTGTATTACCATCACAATCTATTTATAGCATTCTTGCTTCTGAAAAAAATCAAACCCCCTACTTTTAAAGTCAAGGAATCAATATAACACAGAAGCCTATAAATGTGAAAAAAGAATGAAGAATATAGGACTGAGAATGATAATATGAAAGGCAATGCAGGAAAATATGG